GAAGAGAAAGTTATTAGGCCATCCAATCTGTTTTGGCTTACATTATTTTTCCATACTTTTCTCCAATCTACTTCTAAGAATTGCTTGCAATGGCATTTCCACCACAACCTTGAATCTAACTTTGCTAATGTTCTTATGTTTACAACAGGCTGCTGTAACTTAACAACTCAGGCCTGCCTTAACCCTCACTAGAATCTGTATAACTAATAGTGTACATTATCAGTGCTAACAAACAGCACTGCACCTTACAAATACCCAGAGGAGTTGAGAAGGAATGAATGATATTCTGTAGATGTTGAATATTTACAAGCTTATTATATGGGCACTGTGTTGCTTTGGAGCCCTGCCAAGGGAAACATACTGGAGTTTTAAAAGAACTTCTGAGAAGAACTGTGTGTTTAAAAGTTTCCCAGAGAAGGATTATAATGTAAATAAATTAAGTTTGCTTTTTCAGAGCAGGAATACATATATATAATTATATAAATATAATTCTATTAACTTAATGTGTTATTTGCTGTCAAGTCAGAATTGATGTATAGTGACCCTATTTTTCAAGATAAGGGAAATATTTAAAGAGTGGTTTTACCAGTTGCATGTGTGTGTGTGTTTGCGCACGCACATACACAGAGAGAGAGAGAGGAGAGAGAGAGTGAGTTTCCATGGCTGTGTGGAGACTTGCAGAGGGTTTCTTATTGGTGTGTTGAGAACTGGCTGAACTATACCGAAACAAGAAGATCTTATTGAAAAGATACGGGAAATAGCCGAAATGGACATTTTAACAGAAGTCATGAAGGACTATCCCTTGCAAAAGGCAACAGAAAGATGGGATCTATTTAACAAGTGGACTGAATCAACAGGCAACTTATGAATAGCATAGTATATTGAAATGAGAACTCAGTCTAGAAGGCAGAAAAGAGTAAATAGAATAACTTAAAATCTTGATATGGCAATAGGTACAGAATGGATGGAAATATGTTATTGTCTCCCCTCTTCCTCATCAATTCCAATTCCCTTTTCCTTTCTGTCATCCCTTATATATATAAAAAGAGAACTGGCTGAACTATGTAGAGGCGGTGCTTCACACAACATGATTTGCCGTACAGAGGCAAAATCCTAAAGATGGAGACATTGCTTTTGGCCCTGTGAGAATTAGATATTCTCATTTCCTCTTCACTGTAGAAATGCTATACTTTTTAGTGTACCTGTTGCACAATTACCCTACTGGTAGTCAACAATGGGACAGCAAGAGAATTAAATGAAATAGGTTAGTTGTAGATGAGTTCCAAGCTAGAAGTAGATAAACCAAAGTAAACTACTGAGGAGCTAGAATCAGAGCATAGTAATCACGTAGTAAAAACACTAGGATCAGCCAAAATGTCACAAGAGCATGCAAGTCTTTGAGTTCTCTGGAGTTCTTTATCAGGCTGGGTAGTATGAAAGGAAAGTGGGGAAAGGGGGTTTCTTCCTCTGCTTTTTCCACTACCTAGCTGAGGAAGGGTTTTGGAAAACTCAAAAGCTTGCACAACTTTGTCATATTTCAGTTATGTCTAACAAAAAAAAAAAGAGAGAGACAGAGAGAGAGAGAGAGAGAGAGAGAGAGGCTTCTGTGGGTTTTGCTTCTTACCGGTCATGGACCAGCATGGCTATGTTTCAGATTTTTGTGTCTGTTATCATTGAGGCTCCTCTGGGTAGTCACCCCAAGAGAAGCGCATAAATTCTCTACCAGAGTTTTGCTTCTTACCGGTCATGGACCAGCATGGCTATGTTTCAGATTTTTGTGTGTGTTATCGAGCATGGCTATGTTTCAGATTTTTGTGTCTATTATCATTGAGGATCCTCTGGGTGGTCACCCCGAGAGAAGCACATAAATTCTCTACAAGAGTTTTGCTTCTTACTGGTCATGGACCAGCATGGCTATGTTTCAAATTTTTGTGTGTGTTATCATTGTTGCTGTTGTTATTGTTGTACAACTGCTGAACCAAGTACAAAAATTAGGCTTTCATGCTAGGAAACCATGTTCTAGTGTTCTCTTGGGATCATATTATGTGGATAACTGAAAGCCTATAGCAATTTCATTTTGGAGATGTTCTCAGAAACTAAAAGGAAGATAATTAGTGCAATGGAAAGGTTGGCTGCTCCCATATTTCCCTTTAACCTGAGTTTTCTAAATGTGCAGTCTCTTGAATAAAAGTTTTAAAGCTGATGGCATATATAATCATAGAAAAATTGAGCTGAAAGCGGCCTATAATTTTATTTACTTTATTTATTCAAAATATTTTTATCCTGCCTTTCTCCTAAAAATAACCTAAGGTTGCCTACATAATTAAAAACACAATACTTAAAGCTAAAAACAATACATTATTCAAATATTAAAGAATTAACATCATTATATTAAAAATGGTAGGTAAAAGCATTAAAAAAAACAGATTTAGAATCAACCATCCTGTTAATTTTCTCCTACACAGTCAGTCACTAAAGAAAACTCTGCCTGAAGAGAAAGGTCTTCACCTGCTGGTGGAAGGACCACAAAGATGGGGCCAGCCTGTCCTCTTGTGGGAGTGAATTGCAGAGTCTGGGAGAAGTGGCAGAGAAGACCCTCGCCTGTGTCCCCACTAAGCACATCTGTGATGGTGGTGGGACCAAGAGGAAGGCCTTTGCTCATTATTCTTAACACCTGGACAGGCTCATAAAGGGAGCCCAATGTAAACCCTATTGGTCCAGTAGATTTGTATCAAGTCAGGATGAATGATTTGATTTAGACCCAAGTAAGGAGTGTGGGCATTTCATATCTCTTTGGCATGGTTGTCAGTGAGGGCCAGTCTAGCCACCATCAGTGGAGGTTTCACCTCACTTCAAGATATCCCCTAGATGTGAAGTGTGTGGTCTTCCAGAAGCTGCTAGATTGCAATTCATAATCCATCATCATTGAATATGCAAACTATTACTAATGGAAGCTGCCGTTCAGCACTGTTCGGTGGACCACATGTCCCCCACTCTGCCTCTCATGCAAAAATTTTATTTTTTTTCCTCCGTAGGACTAAGCATTTCACTTACCTGGGACAAAGTAGAAAGAGTAAATTGAGGGATACCAATAGGATACAGTACTCCCTGACTTAGTGACCTCCAGTGCTGATAATAAACCTGTTCCTGTTTCTTGCAGTACAGCAGTAGTGGGGGGAATGTCATTGTTCTGGGAGCTATTTGCCAGAGGTGCATGGGGCTGAGGACATCATTATGCGTAAGCGCTGATCATTAATATGGAGCAAATTTAGAGTAATGACAATTTAGTTTAAATGGAAACAGTGCAGCATAATGAGAAGGTCTGAAAAGTGTGCATAACGACTAAGCTGCAGCTTAGTTGCCCAGCTGCTAACTGTCAATAGATGATCTCAAAGTCTTTCCCCTGCTCTCCCTTCTTATGGTTCTTCATCTCTAAATTGGGCTTAGACCAGTTTGCCTTTCAACCAAAGGGCATTGTCAGATAGAAAACTGTCTTCTGTAAATATGATATGTGGCTCTCTTATTGCCCACCCCCCCACCACCACTGGAGTACAAATGAATTTGGGGACCTAGCTTTTACAGCAAAACAAGCATATGTATGCCCTACAGAGTATCACCCTGTTTCCCCGAAAATAAGACCTAACCTGAAAATAAGCCCTAGTCTGATTTTTCAGGATGCTCATAATATAAGCCCTACCCCAAAAATAAGCCCCGGTTAATGGAAACCCTGTCCTCCACCATTGTGCAGCAACCAGAAGAAGATGACAGGACTGTATTTGAACAAATGTAGATTGCTGTACATGAAAAAATAAAACGTCTCCTGAAAATAAGCCCTAATGCCTTTTTTTGGAGCAAAAATTAATATAATACCCTGTCTTATTTTTGGGGAAACACAGTACTACTATTAGTTTTATTTATATGCTGCATTTCTCCCAACAAGGGACCCAAACAAGCACATGGCAGAGACTGGAAAAGTTACATTTCAGGATTACAATGCCCAGAATCTACCAGCCAGTCCAAAACATAACTTTTCCAAGCTTTGGTAAATGGCTGTATACATCTACACGACTCCACTGATGTCATTGAGTTTTCCGTGTGCGTATGAATATTGCTATGTTAAAAGTTTACATGTTTTTGGGATAGATACTCTGGACAGCCTAGGATAGAAGGATCACATGATTATCTGAGTTATTTTAAAAACAGAAAATAAACACTGATTTCAGTCTCAGATTTCCTGAGCTGACGATTCTTTTAGGAAGAACTGGGTTGCAACAATTTCCTGGCCTGCTCCCTGTTATGATGATGAGTCTCTGCCAGTTGAAGGATCTCAGTGGAATCTGAATGTGCCCAGACTATAAATACAATCCGCAGGTTATTCATCAAATTATCAGAAAGCAGTAAACAGGATAGTTTTGCTCCTATTTATTCTTCATTCAACACACACTGACTTTCACTTTCATCAGATTCTCTCCCTGCTCCAGACATAGAATCAAGGAACTCATATTTTAGCAGATATTTTCTGGGCTAATTTCCTTTTTTCTTTCCTTTTCTCCTTTGAGTTTTCATACTGCCATTTTTAAAAATACATGTAATATTAGGAAAGTCATAGATGGAAAAGCCTGTCCAACATCTTTTAAACTGTGTTATAAAACAGGTTTTTTTTGTGGGGTGGAATTTTATGAACTTTCGAGAAGGCAAATTTTTATGTTAAAAAGAAATCCAAATATCTAGCCTGCTCTCCTGGTTATGAATGCTTTATTTAAAGGAGGATGCCAAATCACATATTCCCAAGTGCAAAATAACAGGGTTTTATGAGTGGTTTCAAAAGGGCAAAACATAAGCATAACCTTGCAGAACAGTTTTTGGCCTTTATAAAACAAATGGGAAATCAACATGAGAATTTATTACATATGAAAGATGCCAAACTGCTTCATGTCTGATGGCTTTTGGCTGTTAGTTACCTGTGCTTGATAGGGTACCAAACAGATTGAGAGACATACCATGAGCAGCTGCAACAACAACACCAACAGAAGCAACATGTGTTGTTGGGCCTTTGGTTTCCAGGTGCTTGAGAAACAGCAGATGTTCCTTCATTTTGTGACTGTTGCCTTTTTCTCATTTCAGCTCCTTCGGTGCCCCAGAAGCTAGAAAATGCAGATACAAATTTTTTTTAAAAAAAGCAAAGGAAATAGAAATGTATCTGTGTTTGTTCTGAATTAATTGCTGTAGTTCAAGCAATTTTTGAACCCCAACATGTGAAATCCGCCACTAATCTGAATGAATGAATGAATCCGCCACTAATATCAGGGTTTATTAAGCATCGCAGTGACATTCCAGAGACTGGAAGAGTTGTCTCTCTATACCAGAATCACCCATTTTGGCTGTGGGATTATGGAATTTGCAATCAAAAAAAGCAATGTTTCTGAGTTTTGTGACATAATATATTATCTGCTGTTTTATGTTCCAGAAAACCTGGATCCTAAAACCAAATTTCTCCAGAGAACTTATACAGTATTCTAAAACTAAAAGAACAATAGGGATCATGCCAAGCATCAGGGAATAAAAATGGGGACTTTATTTCTCCCAGGCTCCAGAACTAGATTGTGCATGCACACCACACTTCCATTACTCCAATGGTTAACACTTGAAGCAGCATAGGAAAGTGTCCAGTTGCTAAGCCTGAGTCTCCAGAGGGTAATGGTAGCGAGACTGCTCTGAGTCATCCACCCTGCCAGTCTCTTCCTCTCTAGACTTTTTAGCAAGAAACAGGCTTTAGGATCATGCACCTGAGTATTGTGGACACACACCTCGGCTATATGTTCTTGGAGCCCAAGTTCCTCCCCCTGAAAAAGACAGATTTCCTTCACTTCCAGAAATATCTAGATGGTACATATGGATGTCTGTGGGGAAGAGACATGTGGGGAGTTCTTCCCTCCCTCAAAACTTCAACATGTATTAATTTATTTTAATGTACAGTACACAGACTTGAATCCAGCTAGGCGTGTTATCTGAAGCCACCAGTGCTCACTTTCCCACAAAAAGCCAGTTCATTATAAGTCCTGTGTTTGCTCATTGCTTTATCCTCTTTTTCTTAGGTCTTACTTTTCATGCCATGCCCTTCCCTCCCCATAAACTTGGGTTGGAGTTTATGATGCCTCTTGTATTCCACATTAGTCCTGCCAAATTCAAAGTTCTGAAGGTTTTCCTCCCACTGTTTGTAGGCTTTTAAATGTCACTGAATGCAGTGCTAAGGCTCAGAGCACATGCCGACATGCACACAAATTAAACCCACAAATATATTGTAGCTTTATGCCACTGTGCCACAGAGTTTGAAAAACCTGAAGGCTGATTTTCACTGATCCTCTTTTTATATTTTGTGTTACTTTGGTTAGTTCTTGTTGACAACCATGATAAGTAGGATGCATCTTACAATTTCTATAGCACTCGTTAGTTTTGGAGACATTAACAACTTGACTATTACAGTTTTTCTATTCTTTGCACTGAGAAAAAATGCCATTGACAAAAAAGTTATTCTTTGTGTACAGCAAATTAGATCTAGTGCCCAGGCTTTATTCTTGCTAACCCCCACAACTTACTCATGAAAGTAGCCTTGGGGAAATGTTACTTTCACAATTCAGTTATGGAAGCCTGAGCAATTTATGACACATCAAACAGAATCTACAAGACTTCTACCCTGGGCTGGCAGATTCTTCATAATGTCATCATTTTTTGTTTTCCTAGGCAGAAAATAATGTTATGCAGGCTGTGGTGAATTAAACAGGGCAGAGTCAGCTTTTTAAAATGGTTTAATTATAAAAAGTTGCAACCAAAGAATGGGAGGCACTATACTCCTGGAGAAGAGCTCCCTATCTTTAATAAAGAACTATCCTACAATGCTTCTGTTTCTTTAGGGGAAAATGAAATCAAAGCTGCTGAAATTGTGTTCTTTGTTTCAGCAGAATATGCTAGCGTATGTACCCAATGGCTTAAATCCAGTGGCATAAAGTTATGCCATGTAGCGTTGATAACATCATAAGCTACAGCTATTTTTTGAGAATTAAAAGGTTCCAACATGAGCACTTCATATTCTTTCTCCTGAAGAAATGACTACAAACCACAGCAATCCCACCCAATCGTGGTGTGGAGGCAATGGGTGGTCGGCTGTGTGGGGGAGGTAGGGAAGAGCTGACTGGACTCCTTCCACAATTGGTGTGACAATGATGGAGCCTTGGAATTGGTCCTGCTGGGCGGAATTGGGCCACTGCTGCTGCAGTTTATATTCGTTTCTCCAGTTCCAACCCCCACCCCACGAAAGGTTCCAAGGCTCCCTTGGGATCTCCATAGTCCTGGGGACACCATTAGGGGATGCAGGATTGGGCAGTTTGATTAACCAGGGAGATGTCCCTACACACTATCATACCTCAGGACAAAAGCTGATCCCACAGCTATAAATACTCATCTCCCAAACAAAATGCTACTCCAGTCCTCTGAAGATGCCGGCCACAGAGACTGGCGAAACGTTAGGAAGAACAACCTTCAGAACACGGCCAAAGAGCCCAAAAAACCCACAACAACCACTGGTGACATAATAAATTAGATTTACTGAATATACAAACATGACCCATCATGGCATCACCACAGTAGGGAAGACTTTGATTTCAAAAAATCACCACCACAAGGATGATTTTATCACCAGTAGCAATTTTTGGACATTAAAGACGCACTGGGCCCCAAACAGCTTCCCCAGGACCATAAGGATCCTAAGGGAGCCTCAAAACCTTTAGTGGAGGAAGAATCGGATACTTTTAACTTCTGAAAAATGGCTGCAGCTGCTTTCGTGGTGTAACTTTACTAGAGTTCAACCACTCTACGACTGCCAGTTACTATTATGCCTTGACATTGTACTGTGTTCAGAGATGAGTGGGCTGATATTTCAGAGACAGAGTAGCTAGTTATGCTCATAAAAGGTACGTCGTCTTATCTAGAAGCTTATTCAACTTGATGCAAAAAGTGTGCCAAATTCTGCTATGTACCGTATTTGTAGTTTATCCAGTTGGGTTTCTCCATTAAATTGCTGTAGCCATCCAGATGATAATTTGCAGGAGTATTCAGGGTGGAGGCAGAGAAACTGCTTTAAGGAGCTAATGAGGTGCTAATAGGGAATTTTCACCTCTCTTTTTGTTTCCTAAGTTCTCCTAAGTGCCCTAGACTGAGAAACTCTGTTCCAGCACTGAGCTGATCTATTTTTAAAGACACTGTATAGAGACTAGAGGTGCCTGGTTGAGGAGAGCAGATACCCTATGAGCACCTCTTTGTATGAGATAAGGCAGTTAAACTGGCAGAAAGCAGACAAAAGCAAAGTAAATCATAACAATCTTTATCAGCTGAAAAACAACAAAAAGGCAATTCCTTGTTAAAAAAGAAAAAAAGAAATTCCATAACAGGTTTTCCTGCATTGAGCTTTACATCATATAATCACTGGGTTTTAATTCAAATTCATTTGTGCCCAATCTGATGTAAATTACAATGTAGTTGCCCCCTTATATATGCAGAGCTCATGGCTCAGACCAGCTGCTTAAGATGCATTTAACAATTAAGTACTTCAGCCAAGGAACACAAGTCTTTTTATTATTTACTGTATTCCAATAACATCCCAAATTAGTTACTGATGAACATTATGTTCTTGTTTTTGCTTAGAGAAGCAATAATTCTGCTGAACTACTCGTGGACAGCATTAAAGCAAAAGAATTATTA